GAAAGAAAGAGAGAGAGAAAGAGAGAGAGAGAGAGAGAGGGAGAGAGGGAGAGCGAGGGAGAGAGAGAGTGTGTAAAAAAAGAGAGAGTGAGTGTGAGCATCTCACCCTCTCTTGGCGAAAGAGGGTTGAGCTCGCGACATATTCTTCAAACCCCAAGTGACAAGTGAAACCTCTTTGTCCAATTATTGCACGCGGTACGGTTTGACGGACTTCCGAGATCTTGGAGAAATTTTGTCGAAGGAAGTTCGCCCTGGGAACTCGGTGAGTTCTGGAGCAGGGGGCCTCGAGAGGTTTCCTAACGTCTTGTGCATGCCGTCTGAAAAGCCTGTCAGCACGGCTTGCAAGTTCCCTGCATGCGATTGAGTCTGAGGCAAGGACCATTGATGGGGCGCTGCTGCTGGAGGCACAGCAGCCAAGCCGTTCGTCTCGTGCCGAGATGGACCTTGGCTTCGCAGGTGCAGCGAGAGGCCGGAGAATCCACGCTGCAGCGCTGGGCGCTCTTCAAATTAGCTCTTTTCTGGTTTTTTGTGTCGTGAGTTCTGAGAGATCCTGCGGACCTGCTGAGGCTTGGCCAAGCTCACCTCTTCCGCCAAGGCCTGCTGTGGGTTCAGTTATGTTCAGATCCCTTGTCAACTTCGCTGCAGATGAGTACTGTGAGGCCTCTCGACCGAAGCTCGTGACTCTTGTGGATGCAGTAGCGGAGCGTGAGCTTCTCAGGAAGCCCTACCCGCTGCAATGACAAGACAGTATGGCACTAGCACAGATTCAGACGCACCAACGCTGGAGCATCGTCCGTCGTGCCGTCGTGGATATCTGACTGGCTAATCTCAGGCTGGTCCTTTGCAGTGGTCATTTCGACTGCCCTCGTTGCGGCCACTTGCTTACGCTTTGCAGCTCATGCAGTCGTAAGACGTGTCCCAATGGCAACACTGTAGCGGTAGCGACTCCCTGTCCCAGTTGCCAAAAGCAAGCACACGGATTCGATTCGTTTGCTAGGCGGTGCCGCCGCTGCTGTTTCGAGCGCCACTGGGTAGGCCACTTCCTCAGACAACCACGGCAGCACAAGTAGCCGCACGCACCGAAAGGTCGGTGTACCATGCTCTGGTTTGGCTCATCACTGCGTCCCCGTGCGCGCCTGGCACCAAGACATGCGTCATTTCAGTGTTCGTGCATAGCTTGGCCAACGGTGCAGGCTGATTCTTTCGACGCCCTTGGTCTACCTCTCCGGCCTCTCTGTTGCTGCACGCAATGGGGTGCACAGGGGCTTGTTGTTTCTAGAACTTGCTTGTATATTCAACACCGTCAGCAGTCGCGCATATTCGGAGACGAGACTAGTTTCCTGATTGGAGGTGCTGCTAAAAGGAGGACGCACGCTGGACGCGCTGGCAGTGGCAAGTGGAGTGGCTTTTGACAAGTGCTGAGCCAAGAAGCGCAGCACCAGAAGCTGTCGATTGCCCTCAGCATAATTTAAGGACGGGGACGCTGACTACCGGCACGCCAGTTCTGCAGAGTTTGGAGGATTTCACGAGAGACGGTTCTGGGGTGGTTTGAAAGATTTGAGCCGTAATGATCTGCGGCCAGGAAGTCGTGGACAGCGAGTCGGCACATGCCAAGTCCAAGGCCAGCTGGATTAGACTGGATCGGACTTCATCACCGAACCCGGCTTTTTCGCTTCAGCAGCTTCGCCTGTTGCAGCAGTGGCCATACGAATGCCAGCCTTGCGAAACAAAGCCGAGAGCAACAGACGGCATATGGTATAGTCTATACAGTCTAATTATACACATGTAATCACGAGACAAGCAGATAATCGATGTTAACTTAACATGCCTTTACATGGATGATCATGGATGTGTGTGTTTGTGTGCATGTCGTGTCTGTTTGTGTTGTTTGTGTTTGCCGATGGAACAGACACCATAAGGAATCCGTGCAAGCAGCTGTCCTTGCCAACTTCCAGAAAGCAAGTCGAGGAGGGACACCATCAAACCGGAAGAAAAGCCGACAAATGACAAGCAAGTTCAGGCGGTTTGTGAGCCAGACAAGCTTTCTCAGGGCGAGCATCAAGTGGACGCCCTGCTTTGCGCTGCTTCCCTTGGCACGTGTCCCGGTGCCGGTGTTGTGCAACACTGACGCAGTTCAAGAAATCCTGCATACAACTGCCAGCGCTAAGGCCGGCTGTCCGTGCATCCGGTTTCAAGGGCAGCCGTAGCGGCACTGCCCGAAGACAAGGATCCCCTCCAGGCAGCCCGCCGCTTTGGCCATGCACGGGGACGGCACATAGCTGCACCTGTACCGAGGTCACGGGCTTCCAAATGGTCGCTGGTGAAGGCGTCACCGGAAATTTGCTGCCCAAAGAAGACGGCCGGAACCTCAGCCGCGAAGACCCGTTGCAAAGCGTGACGCAAGTTTGATGCCCCCAGTGAGTGCTGCTTCCAAGCACGACGTGCTCAGCTGACATGCTCGTTAGTAGGCCCTAGTAGGCGTTGTGGCGAGCATCGTTGCAACAGAAGGGATGCTGCAACAGCACGTGCGGCACCGGAGGTGTCACCTGCAAAGCCGCCGGAGACCAAGCTTGTCCATGTGTGGCCGCGGCTCGGTTCCACGGTTCCAAACCAGCGCAAGCTTGCGATGCAAAGAAACACACGAGCATTCCAAAGAAAGAGAGAGTTTCACACGGACACGGGTGCCTCTGTCTACCGACCAAGCAGTTGGTCGATCATCAAACCACAAGCACGACTCCCCGCTTTAGCTTCCCCCCCTTATCGTGGTGCAGGGGCGAGAACTGGCTAGATCAAAGGTGCGTACTTGGCGTGCAGAAGGGTGACAGAGACTGGGTGTGGCCTGCGTGCAGCACGATCACTAGTGCTGGTGGAGCATGTGCAAGTTGTCTGACAATCTGGACATGATAAGTTGATTGCGATAGTACAAGACTTCAAGAGGAGGCTCAGATGTCTCGAGCAGAAGCATAGAATATGCAAGCGGCATCCCTCGAGCGTGGCCACGAGGCCATGGGACGTCCGGAGTTTGTGGCGAACCAGGTGGAAGGCCAGGCGACAAGAGTCACAGGCTGACAGCTTGCTATAGAATCCATCAGAATTCCATCGAAGTGATGTTTCACATGGTGCAGATGAACTATACCTTGGTCCAAACAGCAAATGGTAAACGCCGACCGTCACAGTAGCTGTAATGGGTTCTTGGGACAGGAAGTGGGCGAAGCAGCCACGAATCGGACTCAGTTTGAATCAGCTGCGTGTCACTAGTGGTTTGAACGCCTTCTGCCTTGCAAAAAGAGGGGCTTGGGTGGACCTTGAGCTCTCCCAGGCTTTGGTGCATGCGCTGCGGTCGCGAGCAAGCAAGGCAGATGTTTCAGACTTTTAGCAGTTTGGCTGTTTGTAACATCTCGCTTTTCCTCTTGACAAGTCCTGGTGGCCACCGGAGGTGGCCAAGACTGGCAGCGTCGTGATGGCTTTGTCGGTGTGGTCGCCAGATGAGGAGGCTTGAAGCGCCCTTCAAATGCGGTTCGCTTCCCGGGAGCCCGAGCTGCGCTCGTGGCAGGCTCGAGCCTGGCTGTTTCACTTCGAGGAGCCGAAAGCAGATGCATTGGCAAGAGCTCGGAGTGCGGATGTACTGGCATTCCACTGGGCGCTACAGTAGCTTTTGCAAGCTTTCTCATGCCACGCAGCGCTTGGTTTGAGCAGAGGACAGCGTCAAAGAAGCTGCATCCGCTGTGGTGGCAGAGGCACGGGAGCACTCCTAGCTGTGAAGGGGAACTGCCGCCAGCCCCCACAAGTGCTGTTAAAAAGGACTAAGAGGAGAGAGCATCACTTTTGACCATCGTGCAATGGACCGGTTAGTGCTAAGTTCCCATGACATGTCCTGGCCAGATGCATGCTTTCCCAGTAAAGGACATTGTCTGGAAACCGTTCGCACGCTTTTGCGCTGGCATGAAAACAACATGACATAATGCCAAGGTGTGTATGCATGTGACAGTCTTGCTGCGTCACAAACCACTTGACTTCGCGAGTGCAACATGTGCTCGTTAGGCTGAGGGCCTGCAGAAGACATCAGAACAAAGTCGACAGCTCTTCCTAAGGTACTCGTAGAGATCACATCAATACAGGAAGGTGCAAAATCTCGAAGAAGTTCAGACATATGTCTCCCGTGTTCCCAAGCACAGTAAGATCGCATCCCTATTCGAAGCTGTTCGTTTTGCTGCAGCAGGCAGCTGTCCACAGGATCGCACACGGTCAGGGGACAGGGCTGTGTTCGCGCCGTGCTTCGGTGGCCTGTCAGCTAAAGAATGAAAAGTTCGGGACCTGTAGCGGGGTCAGACTGCAGGTTTCTCGAGGAGGTCCTGCCAGCGCCTCAGATTTCCTGGTCAAGGTCCAGATGCGCTCCACATGGGAGATGCATGCGGAGCAAACGTGTGCAGAATGTACAGCACGCCATGCACAACTGCAGAATCAGGCGAAACCATGATCTATTGCTGTGTCTCGTCTCTGAACTTTGGCATGGCTGCCGCACTCCGGACCTTTGAATTCAATTCGGTTCCCAACAGAGCTGCCTTCTGCATGAAAACATCATTGATGGTTAGCTCATGCTCCATTGACATCCATTGACTGCCTGATCGCAACGAGGTTTACATGCTCACCGGCGATCGCCATGCCAATGCCAGAAGTGTGGTTGATGAAGTAGGTGCCTCGCCCGGCTTCCTCCGGCCCTTGCGCGACTCCGCCGAGCACTGCTCCGATTCGCGCAGACCTGTCAGGCGCCGCCAACTTCGATGCCGTTCACGCGGACTTGAGACCAGAAGACAAGCTCGAAAAGGCGCGAAGCGGGCATTGCAGGTCGTTGGCATAGGTCGCCGGACTCGCTTCGAAAAGGCGGCAAGAGAAGCGTCAGATTCTGGCGCAGGTGAGATTGTACGACACCCAACTCCGAGATACAGCCGGAAAGGGGTCGCCTGGATCTAAGCGCGGATTCAACCAGGAAAACTGGGGTTCTCAAGGCCCAGGTGCTGTGTTCAGGCGATCATGCACGATCACACTGTGACTGCGAAACATGCATCGGAGCTACAGTGTGGCAATAGGGAAACAGCTACTGCATGTGCCTCGAGCTTCGCTACCAGTAGCAGTCAGAGCGGATTCAGGTGGCAAGCGCGGCTCTTGGGTCTTTTCGGCGTGTCTCTGGGTGGTCTCGTCATGGTCGGAGATGGAGTCAATGATGCCCGGTGCTTGGGCACGTGGTATGGCAGGCAGGCTTGAGCGATGTGGATTGCGTCGAGAAACCAGGCTCCTGCTTTGGCGGCCGCGACGGCTGGGATTTCACTGGAGGTCCGAAGCCTTTGCAGCACGGACAGGGTAGCAAATAAAGGGAGCACTTACAGCAAGGCTCCTTTAATTTAGGGTCTATACCTCCATCCTTGTAATATGTGAGGCGCAGACGGACGGGGCATTGCAGAGCAACGCCGTCGATGGATCGGACGTGGGGTCCCCACGGTTTTCTGCACAACTTTGGTGGAAGCCTTCGCGAATCTTGGTTGCTGCTGATTGGTGTAGTCATGTAGTCACTGTAGTGTGGCAGTCAGCAATGTTCCTACCCTGAAAAGCTGAAAGCTGCTCTCGCAAGCAAGCATCCACACTTGTCGAAGGCAGTCGTGTAGAATGCTGTACTCTCGAAGCGATACTGTTCAGGGCTTCAGGTTTTGGGAGGGGTGCATACTGTAGACTAGGAGTCCAGGAGTTTAGGTTTCAGGCTGTTTCAAGGTTTCGAGTTGTTGTTCGTGGCTTGTTTTTCTGCTTGGGGCTTGGGGGTTTAGGGATCCAGGCATCCAGGCTTTAGGGTTTGCCACCCAGCCTCAGGTCGGTATGTTTTGCCTGATAGGGTATGCCAACGTTTCCTTTTTGGATTCACGGCTTGCTAGCCGACTACCCTGTCAGGTCTGGGATTTACCAAGCAGGGTGGTGCGTGTCTACTTCTTTCTACGGCGGAACACAGAGTGCCAATTGATCTCGGCAATTACCCCGGCGACACCAAGTTTGGATCCCTGGCAAGTCTGTCGCAGTGTCGTTGATCGTGGTTTTCCGAAAGTCGTCTGCAAGGATGTAGTGATTTTCTGTGGACTGCGTCGTATTGCATGATGGGTGGGTTGATGCATGAAGGATGTGCGATCCTCGTGAAAGCAGTCTCCTTGCAGTCGGTGGTTGTGCTTTTCGGAAACTCGCATGTTGTCATCGACATCTTCATCGTCGCCGTCATCGGTCATCACTACCGACTGCACCGCGAAAGGCACGGTAACCTGCATGCTGTCGAACGTGCCATGATTCTTATGATCACCAGAACGAGGTCGTGGTAGTGACCCCTCTTACCCTCCCCTGTCTGTGATGATCAAAGATGAACCTCTCACGCACGGCCTGAAGCACTCTCGGGACATCCACGGTCTTTCATCTGCAGGCTTGTGAAGTTGTGCTGGCAGGCTTTGATACTCAGACGGGCTAGTGACCCTCGTGGAGACAGCGACCTGAAGCGTGTTCGGTTCTCAGACATACGTAGCTCTGCCGCGCTGCAATAGAGAACGGTTCAGAAGCTGACCTGCCAGTGGTCAACCTTGAGCTTAGCCGAGGTGGCTTGGCTTCTGAAATTGGCCCAGAAAGCCCGGAATATCATTCTCCAGAATCTCTGCCTGGGCCTCATCCAGATCTCACATGGCAGTGTCTATGAATGTCTTGGAAGGTCTTGCCGGTGGATCTATACTGGGCGCGTCGCTTTCCGAGCTTGAAACTGCACATGGCCGCTTTACGAAGTGTACACAGGTATATCAGGGTGTAGCAGCATAGCGCACAACAAGCTTTCCATGGCTGTTACGCGAAAATGCCTTGCGTGGTAAGACTGACTTGTGCCAGCACGTTGGTGCACAGGCAGAATAAGAATGCTTTGTCAAATGCCACTGACCACACTCCGGTTCCTGCAGCCAGGAGCAGCGTGACACTCTTCACAGGAATGCCGCTTTGGCTGGGAGTGCTGCTGCACGAGGGGACTACGATGCTTGTGGTGCGCCTTCTTGTCTGTGAACCATCTGGCATGTAGACAGATCGGTTTGACACCCGAGAATGCTTGTCAGTGCCTGAGTTGGCAGGGACTGAACAGTCTGCGCCTGTTTTCGAGCCTCCGAAGTACGTTGCAGCCTCAAGCTGCCGTGTCTTTTCTCACTGCATTTGGTGCGCAGATCATTTCGAGGTGGCGGCCACCGTTTAGCCGCTATCGGAGAAAGCACTGAGGATAGAAATTAGATTGGAAGACTTCCTGTACAGCAAGCAGCATCGAGGGGTGAACAGTCCAGTGAATCTGCAGTGGAGTAAAGGAGTCAAACAGGAAGGCATCACTGATGGACCTGTATTTAGACACTCGCGCGCCTTGCCTGCGCATGTCTGCAGATTCGGATGCTAGATCATTTAATGAAATTTTCAGACACCGCAACCAGAGGCTGGTGAACGAATTTATTCAGACCGTCGCAGTAAAGCTGCTCTTGGTGTGATGCAATTCCGCAAGTTGCTCCACTCCCAAAAAAAGTGTCCGCGCTTTCATCGCGCTAAGATGAAGTCGCACATAGCAAGCCATTACTTTATGAACTGATTCAGCATCGGAGGTATCGGATATCAGCAGGACGTCAAGAGTGAGGCAGCTGCGCCGCAGTATGCAAGCATCTGTGACGCATGGAAGAGCTGGAAACTTACCTGCCTCTGCTGAGTTCTGAAGGTGCAAGTTATATCTTTGGGCGATGCTGCCCCGGCCTTAAGCCCAGCGAGAGCTCTCTCCGGCCCTATTTCTTTGCCCCCATGGGTGTGAACTCTGACACGACGCCTTCTCTAGTCACCTAAACGGACAGACGCCCTCCGAAAGTAGCCTGGGTCCACCTCCGTTGGCTGAAACCAAGGCTCCGATTTCACTTCGCAGGTTTTTGCGGCTCACTGATCAGCTGCTGTCCGAGCAAGCCTGAGGCGTGGCAGGATCCGCGCGTGGCTCCACTGGCACCGCCTGCAAACGGCCACTCGGACTACAAACGCAGGAGTGAGCGGCCGATCTCTGTGACCTGCTGTCAGTGGCGGTTGGGCTGAGGCTGGCAGTTCCAAGGCACCATGCCTAGCAGAGCACCTCGGACGCGAGACTTCTCCCCACGCAAGTACATCGACAAATGCCGGTTTGTCATGCAATTTTCCTTTGGACATATCAACATCAAGCCTTGCAATGGTGATGGTCGGCTGAGGAGCTGAACGGGCTTCACTTCGCCATGAACAGCCGCTAAGTCTTACCTGCAGGACCGTTCCACCCGTTAGCATCGCTTCCGATGTGGAGCCAGAGTTCCATGCCTCCAGGCCACAAGCTGCCTGAGCTGGCTCAGCTTCCACTCGTCAGGTGGGTCGGAAGACTTTCTTTACCGTGACGGCTGTCTTATTTCTTCGCCACATAGTGCTACATGCCTTTGGAACCTTTCGGCACAAGGGGAACACGGCACGGAAGTAGCAAGACCGACTCTGCAGTGCACTGTGGCTATCAGCATCATACCTACCAGCTTCAAAACAAGATCATCATCGGGTGGTGGCTTATCCCCATCTTGCACTGGTGCGAACGCCGAAATGTCCGAAGCTCGGCAATTTCAGTTGAAGTAGGGTTTTGGCTTTGCAAGGCATTGAATGAGTGCGATGTGCGAGGCCCAGGGCAGAAGGGACAGGCCTCACACCGGGGGCTCGGTTCCGAGAGAGCTCTTCAGGACTCTTGAGGAATGCTGTGCAAAAAGAACTCCTTGTTAGTGCCGTGAACGGCTTGGTAGTCAAGTTTCCAGTGATGCAAGTGTGCAACCGGGCTGAGATCACTGACATTTTGGCGAATTGGGATCAGGTCCTGCAGGTGCGCGCAGTTGTTGGCATCATGAGTTGGCGTTGCGAATTGGACTCGTGTTGCCTGATGCAGTCCTTGGACCGAGTACAAGCTTACACTGCTGCTCGTGCAAACGAGACGGCGACACAGCGCTTCGGGCTACAGTTACAGATTACTGTCCGTGAGAGGCCCTCAGAGAGGGTGACGGAGAGTGCACCCGAGGCTAACGGAGGCGTGCAAAGCCGAGCGCTGGGGCCTTGGGTTGTACTTTCGGCCGCTCACGGTGCTCCCTCGCAGTCGGGCCGAGGTCCACCTCTGTTCGGTGACAGTGCAGAGGCCATTGAATGGGCGAAAGTGCAGAGGAAGTCGCCGAGGCGGAGGGAGATACGAGGACACAAGCGACGTCCTCACCGCTTGGCCAAGCAATGCCAAGCATGAAGTTGACCTGCTAGGACTGTTACCCAACTTTGAACCGAAGGAGCCGCGCCAGCAGGAGCGGGGGTTCAGAAGCTGCGTCTTGCGTTCCAACTCGATGCACGTTGAGCGCAGGAGGCGGATCACAGTGTTGATGTTGATACTTCAGCTCTTTCAAAGAAAGGCTGAAAGCTCAGCGCTAGAAAGGTTTCTGATGTGAGGGCGAAAGCGCATTCGCCGAGACCGAGCTGCCTCCCAGCTGCTCCTTGAGCGCTTTGAGCAACATCTCGCAAAGGAGGTGCCCTGGTGCGGAGTGCGGTGCGTTGTTATCCTTCTCCCCGTTTGTGCTGGCCGTGAGATCTAACACGGCAGGCAAGGCAGCAGCGGCTCGAAGGGGTCTTCCGGGGCTGGCGAGAGGCATCCGCTTAGTCTTTTTTCTGCAAATACTTGCAGGTGTTTTTCAACCAGCAGCACCTTGTGAAGGCATGCACTCGAAGACGCACAGAAGACGGTCACAAGGAGGGCAAGGCGCGCCGGGTCAGGCCGCATCAGCCCACCATTGGCGAGGGGAAGTCAGATGTACTGAGGCCTGGGTGGATCGCATCACAGCGTCCTTGGAAATGCAGCGTGAAACAGTGTCGAGGCACGGCAGCTCGCAGAATAGGGGACGGCTGTGGATCAGATTTGGTTTCTTCTAGCCATGCAAGGCTCCACAGGCAACGACGAGATCGCTGCGAGAACGCCCTGCGCTCTTGGCAAGAGGCGGGGACGTGCAAGCACCGACTTTTGACGACGAAGAATCATACTCATGCATGCGATGGAGGTTCAGCGGCAGCTGCTGATCAGCAACGTGTTCAGCGCTGCTCGGACAGATTTCAGACTTCAGAGTCCCAACAGCAAGGAGTTGCCACCACTGTGCTTGTGTGAAAAATTCGGCAATGCTGGTCGAATGTCTCGGGTTCAATTTTTGAGATCTAAGTCCGCGGCCACGAACACGCCACCCTGCATCATCCGCTGCTCCTGCCTCCCACATGTCCCACATGGAAGCGGATCAGATCGCGTTCATGACAAGAGCCTTACATCGCATCATCAGGGCCTCAAGGCCATCAAGTCATCCCAACCATGTAAGGCAGCAAGCAGAGTAATCACTGGAGAAGCCCTCGCACACTTTCGGGAATACAGAGAGCGCTACATGTGCAATGCCACAGGTTCGGTTGCGCCATCCGAGGGGGCAGTTTGCTTATGTGTTCTTGTTGTTGACGCGAGAAGCAGGCACCAAGCATTGCAGCAACCCCCTCCGTTTCTGCTCGACGCCGACGGAGATCTGGCACGGCATCGCAAGACCGCCGGCTGGAGACCATGCACCACAAAACGACAGACGACCACATAGAGGGTCTACGAAGCGACACAGATTTTCGCACATGAGGCCAAAATCGTGTCAGAACCACTGCCGCTAGCACAATGTAGGCACCCTCGCTCACCGAGACGCGTGCGAGCTGCGATTCTTGTTTATTTGTGAGACAACATCGATGCAAAACCATTACAAAAAGCATAGGACCCGAGCGTTTTACAAAAAGTCGACGGCATCGTGCCGTCACAACCCAGTGATAATGATTAAACATGCATTTCGACGCATAATTTTTGAAGGCGGTCATGATTTCTGCCGTAAGCGTTTGAGTCAAATGAGTACCACATCGCATCATCAGGGCCATAAGCAGCTAGAAGAGCAGTCCAGTGCAAAACCCTGTGCAATGCGTTCGGCAAGAACAAAATCTACATGGAGCGTTGTGCTGGTCTTTTTTTTGGGGGGATTAGTATTCAAAATGAGCAGTGGGAAAGAACGCTACATGCAGTTCATGATGCAAAGAGCACCTGCTCGATGTTGGAAGGCATGGTCAGCTGCAGTGGAACAGACCCGTGTGAGCGCACGGAAGCTGGCACATCTCAGCCAGGCCACCCGAGAGTCCATGATGTAGTTTATGAGCAGCAGGCATCCTTGAATGGCAACTCGCCACATACAGTTTCCTGCTGCAAAGTGTGCAGCTACGGAGAAGTGGGTGTCGTGTGTGACAGGAAGAGGAAGTTCAAAAACTGCGCAGTGCAGTGCTCAGGAGCTTGCTTCAGTATGGAATCTAGATGCGGCATGCGCCGGACAGTGCCGCAACGATGCCAGGTGAGCTGGAATCATCACGAGCTGCCAAAGAGACGGCCGAGGTGCTTTGCCTCAAGTCGTGCAGAGCACGTGCACGCCTCGATTCCTTTTCTGCCAGGCCCTTGCAGCTCAGCATTCCTCCATCGCTGCAGAAGTAGAGGTGCACCTGGTACAGAGAGCCTGTAGGGTGCGTTTGAGCTTTCCAGTCCCCTGCTGCATTGCCAGCTAGGGCTCCGAGTCCTATCTCTGCGCCAGGCGAAGGCGGCAGCGGCGTGCGCAGAGGCAGCGGAGGTCAGAGCCGAAGCTGCGAGGCTGCGAGTGACGGCCGAAGAGACGTCAGCAGAGCTGCTGACTGCCAGATCGCAGTTGAAGGAAGCAGAGCGGAATCTCTCCGAGGCTGAAGAGAAAGTCACTGCTGTTCAAGAGGCTTGCAACACCGCCCTTGAGCAGCAGGCAGATGCTGAGAAACAGCTGCTGCGATTTCGAGAAGCTTCTTCCAGGGAAACTGCGTCCGAATCGCACAGGCTACTAACAGATTTAACTATCAAGTTGGCACAGGCAGAGGCCGACACGGCCGAAGCGAAGAGTCAGGCAAGCAAAAGCAATGCTGAGATGCAGCATTTGCAGTCTGCATTCGCCGATGCTCGACGCGAACTGGAAGTTGTATACAGCCTCCTCTCGAACTCGGAAGTGGTTCATCAAGATGCCATGAGACATTTGAAAGGAACCATCAGAGACCGTGAGCTTGCGATGGCACACCTGCGTCACCTCCTGGAAAGATGGCGTGAGCCACCTGTTCCGGTAAAGGAGGATGAGGACCTGAAGCGGAAGCTGACAGCTGACACTCCCTCGGCCAGCACACCCGGAATTCAATCCTGCTTGAGTTTGCCGAGCCTGTCGTCGGTTTCCTCGCCTCAGAGCGTGCGCACGGTCAAGAGCAAGCCTACGCCCAAAGAGATCGAAGATCGGAAAAAAAGGTGGAGTGCCAACTGGCACTAGCTGGGTCAAGCTCGTTCCCCTCCGGTTCTGATCGTTGAGCCCTTCCGACACGGCAAACTTCGCTTCCAAGTGCTGCAAAGCATCACGGGAAGACGGTGTCACTCATGCATGGCAGACCTTCAGACCAGCAGATTTACAATGACTCGTACACACTCTTTGGATGCATTGCGCTTTGCATCAGTCCCTGCCTTTCACCATCCTTTTGGCGGCTCCGCAAATATCTCCAGCCACCGATTTGGCAGGCGCTGCGCGCGCATGTCGACCCAAGTCATCTTTGACCGAGGCATGTCGGGTTTTTGCATTTGTGCACAGCAGGACGCCTGGCCGGGGTTTGATTCTCTTCGCAGCAAGATCCCCTGTACTGATCGCCTCCTGTCCATGGTGACAATATGTACGCTCAAAGGAGGTAAGACTGATGTGCAGATGTCATCAGATGTCTGCAGCCCGCAAGCCTAGGCTTAGTTCGGGTGAGTTGAAGTTGGTCTGACGCAGCAATCTGATTGCAGTAGCACCCTTGCGCGTTTAATAGATGCAAAAGAATCGCAAGAAGGCTGCTTTATACATCCGCATCTTGCAGGCCGATGTACCGCTGACACGGTTCCATGCTGCCGAGATCTGTTCAAGTTGTGACCATAGAAGAGTTCGCAGCTGACACAAGTTCGCAGACTGCTGGTGGGCATGGCTTGTATCTGGTTTCCCAGCATAGGCAGAGCTCTAAAGGAACAGCTTGCAAATTCTATCAATGATAACAACTCCCACCTGAATGCTGAAGTTTCTCACACTAGATTAACGCAAGCATGACGTCGTCGAATCCTGTTCAATCTTACTTGTGCTTCTCCACAATCGTTCAGTAGCAGATGAGAAGAACGGCGACCCCAAGCTTGTGATTTCCATCGGTTCACTGTGAGACATGTGTGTAGTTTTAACATTCGTAAAACTCTGTGAACTTGTGATAATTACGTCCCGCCGTTCCGTGCATGTTGCGACATGAAAATGCCAGTGCCCACAGAGAAAAAAGGCGAGGGAAGCTGTGCTAGGAACATTGCATACACGCTTGCTGCGCATTTTTTTACAAACGAAGCCTGTCCAGACTGTCCGTTAATGAGCTTCACATTTAAAGATCAACACCGAAGCACACCTTTGCTGTACTCAGTGTGCTGTAGGCAGCTTCAATTGCTCCATCTGTGGTTTTGGCTTTGGGCTCGAGAGTCGCCGGCGACACGAGTGGTGAACTTGACCAGGATGACAAGTTATTCCTACTGAAGGCACCTTCAAGCCAAAGTGCACGTGTTATGCCACTGCGGCCTGTAGTTCTGCCATTATAAGTCTGTGCCCATCCTCATTAAGACTATGCTTCTGAATTGTGCTTGTGGTGATAGCGACGACGACTACTACTTTTGCTACTGCTACTGCTAGCATTGCTAGTTTGCCTATCAGCCGTATCGTTACCGTACCACCTAGCATGTCCTTCATGGGCACATTCTGCCTCGGGCCATGTCCTCTGGTTCAAGAAGCGCTGCCCTTGGCCCAGGTTGTCGAAACGAGAACTCATCATTATTCCCCTTCAAGGACCATGGATTCGGGACGTCGTGTGCGGGCATCGTGCGTTGCCGACAACTGGGGGAAGCCATGGCCTTGTAGAGAAAAGCTCCATTTGTGAGCTATGCCAGCTGTGTCGATTCTGAGGCATACTGCGACGTTTGAGTACCCCAGACAATCCGATTGAAAACTGTCAGGAGTACAGCGGGCAGTCTCATATGCAACACAAGTCACAAACATCAAGTGGATGGACGCGTGAGTACGTACGCTCCTCTGCTTAAAGTCACTGTATACGCGAACTGCTCTGAGTCGAGTAGTAATCGAGTAGTCAAGTAGTAGCCCCTTTGCCACGCCTTGCTCACAACATGTCTGCCAGTTCCAAAACTGCTCGACATGCGCAGAGGCACAGAGTCACGGAAACTCACGAGTCCTAGCCATGCAAAACTGGATCCCAACTCCGAAAGCCTGTTCTCTGAAATGACGGTACGGGGGCCCACGGATCGATAAATTCCCTCAGGTTGCTGTGGGCAAATATCGAAACATGGAGAGGGCATGACCTTCTGATCCGTTTTCAGAAAGAAGCAGCTTGCTGCCCGTTCAACTGCGACTGATCGCATAACAAGATACGTAAAATACGGACGCTGTGCCCATCCTTTGTCAAGCCTCCCCCATACAGGTCAGGGGTGTGCCTCAGCTACAAGCATTGCCCCTGCAGCAAATATCTCTTGAGCACAGCGGAGGCATCAAACATCGTAAAGCCCTGCTGACATGGATGGTTCAGTGGTTCATGCAATCGGCGGATTCCCCAACTGCGCTCACCTTCATCGGCGATGCTTCTACAGCAAAGCCTTTCCACAACCAGACAGCCAAAGATTTAAAGAGATTGTGGAGGTTCGGAGCTGTGGTATATGAGAAACCAATGGTTAATCGGCCAAGCGCATGGTAGCATGTTCCTGGTGTTTGTTCATCTGCCGGTTTTCGTCATAGTTTCATTATGTTTCATTGCCGCAAACTCACAGGCACCTGGGATGCTGCGCCGGGCCCCCAATCGAAGAGGATGTATATTGGACTTAAAGGGGACTATGGGTTGTTATAAGGCTTACTCTATCTTGCTTGGTGTGGGGCGTTTGTGAGGCCTAATTACCATAGCTTGAAACGACGCCAGGCACAGCCTTTGCGATTTCCTGGAAAGCGAGTGCCAGACTCGGGGGATTCGGAAGAAATACCATGTAGAAGTGTTGCGTCACTGGCCAGACCTCAGCCCGCATAGGTGGACTGCTCTTTGCACCTTCTTGGATGCAGTGTGGACCCAAGAAGGAATCTGCTGAGCCCGACCCTTCTGTTCACCTGTTCTATGCAGGGGGGCACGGGCAGCGCGTTGGCCTCAGAGCTTGCATGGAGCCGCAGTCAAACCAAGCTGAGCCATGCCTGCAGAAGGATAGGTTCCGCCGACTCCCGCATGCACAAATCGGCTTGTTGATGAAGTATCGCCGCCAGCACACACCAGGTGACGTTGTTCTTCGACAGGGGCTTTGTAGTTCTGCTTCGAAAGTCCTCTGCAGGCCCCCAGCATTATCGAGCTTGGATCTGGAACCGGCTGGCGGAGTTCTTAGATCACATGGCAAGAGTCGGTTTGCTTGTTTGAAGCGTCTCATGGATGTCACTCAGCATGCAGCCGTGTTGACGTTAAGTGTTCCAGTTCTATGTCTGAAGAAAACCAGGCTTGGGATGACCTTGGCACGGAATATCTCGCAGAACGGCCAATCGGGCAGCATCTGTTTGACTGAGCAGGCTGGACCCTGTGTTCTGATGCTGGAACATCATCGTCATCATCATCATCATCATCAGGACCCTTTCCCGCGTGCGAGGCTCCAAGATCGCCTGTCACTAGGATGGCACCATGGAGAGGGCGTACGAACAGAAGTTTGAAAGTGTGGCTGCTCTCAAAAGGATCATGACAGGGGGATGGGACCGCTACCGTAAGTGTAGGCAAGCCATGAAATCTTTTCAGTTTGCGTTTCCCAATTCTTGGAAGCACTTGCTGACCATCGTCCATCATCTGTCATCAGACGATCCATCGAACCATCTTGACACCGTTCGCGAGAATGTCCTTCGACAAGGCGTTCGGGATGAGACAGGGGTGCTTGGCCAATGCCGAGCGGTGTGCCCGATAGGCTACTTCCAAATTTCAACTGCTTTGCAGGCAGATGGCGGGGTCTGACTCTCAGACACGTTCGCTGTCGTAGATGCAGCCCATGTCAGCGAAAAAGGCAGGGCACGGACAGGCTGGATGGCATTGCTAAGCCATCAGCTGTTGGAGAAGTTGCGCTTGAGGGTTTCATTCTTGAAAACAAAAGCCGCAAAGCTGCAGAGACATGTTTTGCAGTGCGGTTCTTCTGCCGCTGAGGCAATGGAGTGGCTTCAGCACAATCTGATGGAGAATGCGTGCTGCTTGCATGAAGCAAATGAAGTCTGAACTGTGTCGACGACCGGGGAGCATGTCCATCGATCCTGCACGCCCCTGCATGTTGAACTGTGATGCAATGAAATCGTGGCTCCTACCACTGAGATTCATTGCGAGGTGGCTGCTGGTGTTCCACTCAGTGCGGTCGACTTGCAGGACTGTGCTGACTGTTTCACAGTGACAGCACTTGGAAATGATTCATGGCAGGAGTTGGATTGGAGCAAATTCGAAGCATCTATCCCAGTTATGCACGAAGTGGTCGGCCGGCATGGACACGGCGTCGTGCGGCACTCTCTGGCTCAGGACGCTGCATCAATGCCGGCTTTGCCTCAGCCACCTGCACAAGAGCAAGGCCTGCCTGCAACATCTAGTTTACGACCTTGTCCTACTGTGACTACACAGATGTCTGTGGACAAGAAGAGCACGATGTTGGATTCCCTGCTTCAGATGTGCTTGGCCTGCTGTTTTCCGCTTCAGTATTTTCAGACAAAGATCGCTGGCGGATACCTTGCATTTCTTATTCATTTCGGCTGGAATTCGAGACCTGCGTTGTGAGGCTACCTAAATACAAACTCGAACTGCAGCAACTTCCAGCCCTCCAACACTTCCAACCTCAACAGTCTTACAGACCTACCCCAAACATTGCTTTTGGGCCTTCCACACACAGCAAGCATTCGCTTAGGCGTGAGGAGCATAACAGCATGCGTAGCAACCCGCTCATGCAGGTAGCCCCAACAGCAAGCAACATCGCATCTTGTGTTTCATGGACCGTGTGGCAGCGGTTGCAGGTCAGCACTGGGATCTTCTCATTGGCTCTGATCTGATCTACTCGCAGGCCAGATCGGCACATGCTTTGGGCACGTTCTGACACCACGCTTCCCACACGTTTCCTGATGCCAAGCTTTGACACATACGAACGAAGTCTGCATTTCGGGAACTGTGTGCTATCCTCTCTTCTCTTCCAAAAACCGGAAGAGGGAGCCCTCATCACGTCCGACGACTGTGAAATGGGTGGTTCGGTGAACCATGGTTGGGGCAGCAGATTAGTTAAGACAGCTAAGACATCATGCAGGAGATTCTTGCTTGCTTCCATATTTGGCAACGTTCGAAGTCGGGTTTGCCGGGGTTCGGGCACAGCTGAGTTGGGTGCTTGGACAACACCTACTTGGAGGATCATGGGACTTAGTAAGTAAGGTTATAAGTCCCTTAATTGGGGTTATAAGTATAGTTACCCTAATTATAACCCGAAGCCCTTAAAAAGTGCCTCATCATCAGATTTTCAGACCGTGACGAGGCAGGTGTCGATCTCCTTCCGCGGGTTCTGAAGGAGTTTGCCAGGCAGCATGAGCCTGAGCTTGTGATCCGGTATACTAGTATACAACTCCTAAGTCCTACTGTAAGGCACGCACTTGTCAGACACCATATCACCTGCTGATGGCTCTCGTCGCCGGTGTTGGTTCAAGCTCAGATGTTCATAATGAAGGGCACATGCTGCCTCAAGAAAGAGTGTGTCTTTGATGCATGCGGGTATGACCTCAAGAGACAAGGTTGTTGTTAGCAGAAGGATCAGTTACAGTCGGAGCTTCTCAAGAGCGGCTCTTATCAGTGGCCGGGCTTCGGCTCAGCTCACCTTCTCTGTGTGGGAGCCAAGGACATAGCTCACTTCGAGCGACAATATGACTGCAGAAGAAAGTGTGGCCGCACCACAGACGCCTTGCTGCAGGTTGCCAACCGAACTCTCTGTGCCTGCATCTATGCTAAGTTCTGAACGAAGAAGCATGGCCAGTACCTGGAAAGAACGTGTGAGCAGCAAATTGGAATGATGCGCAGGGAGGAAGGTGTTTGAGAGGTTATTCGGCTTCAACTCTGTCAGTACCACCTTCATTCCACAAGCATGCAACGAATGCTGCGCTCAGGATCATCCGAGAAGAATGTCGGGTGGTCTCTGGGCCTTTTGCGATTGGGGTGCAAGTCTTCCTGGCTACTCACCTTAACTCTCGACAAAATTCAGCATGTAGAGCCAGCCATGCAATTGGAATGCCCGCACATCGAGCGCAAGTGAGAGCAGGGCTTGGTGGTCATCAGGTCCCGGTCCCCCCACCTCTCGCCTGCCTGACATTCCCTGATTGCGTACTGCATTTAGGCCGCCATGGTGTTGGCGACGCCACTTCGGTCGGCACCCAGCTCCAACCTCCTCCAAGAAGCGCGCAAATGTGTAAATGTGTCGACATCTTGCGGACTCTAGATGTTGGTAAGATAATGCTGCGATGCCTCGTGACGTGGTGAAATAGCATCAGTACCAGCTGACATCATCGGACGTGATTAGCCACTCAGCTTGTACCTTGACCTTTTGAATTCAACGATGTTCCTGCACGAAGGCTGCTTTACAAGCGCTACCAGGAGCACCCTCCACGATCATGGCTTGTTTGGCCGCTCAGAGTCAATGAGTGTGACAGGCCCTACCTGTTGCAATGGTTGGCACTGCATCTAGCATACATTCACGTGTACTTTCCGGTTGCTACAGTTTCGGGAGGAGGTTCCGACACAGTGGGCTTGCATTGACATTTGCTGTTCAATGAAAAGGGCTTCGTGGACAGCCTTTTGATGGTCAGCTTCTTCACCACGCACAGGGAAGAGGGTATTGACTCCAGAACGGATGAGTCAAGCAGTCAGCAGTCATGACAACCACCCCAGGCGTTGCAGCATATCCTTAAATCTCCAGAAATCGAGAACGAGACATTTCGGAAACCCCATCCAGGCCAGAAGGTCCAAACTGCTCTGCCAAAGACTGGGGTGAACACATCAAGGCATGCAATGGGCACTCATGTGCGGAGCTCCACGACATGCAATCTGCAATCAAGGCTGTTCATAGCCATGACTTGCGCTACAGGTGCTTACCCAAGAACTGTAGGGGCTGGCCCCTGGCGAAGTAGAGCAAGCTGGGTATCCTATCCGACCTCTTGCCCCAAGCACTTCACTAGAACATGTTAGCACATGAACTCGTTTGCCTTTCAGTGTGCCTCCTCAGAATAAACGTTCAGCCATGTCTCCGTTGTCCCCAGCAGCCAGGCTGCCAATGCTTGGCTCAAAGCAAATCCAACTCCGTCGGGTCTCGAGAGCGCGTCCGTGTTCGCATCACCCGGTTACTTGCTCACCCACCCACCCATGCGCACAGACGCGCACGCACGCACGCACGCACGC